ACTTTAGAGGCAGCAATTGTATATTCTGGAAGAAATAGTTCAAATTTAAAAGTCTCTTTCTCAAAAGGAGAATCCTGGGGCGCAGCGATGACCACATGAAAATAATGGGTATTACTCTCATCTGGTTCTGCTTTAATACCAGGAACCGGTTATACCAGCAAACATTGGGTTTTCTCAGTGATCCTGCGAGACAGTTAGGCTATCTTGTCAGATCCTGAGTTCAGTCTCTGGCCTCAACCTCACCTGCCCATTGCAGAGGGGGATGTACTTTCAATTCTTTTTTTTTTTTTTGAGAGGTTTTTGCTATAGGGCACGTGTGCTCACCAGACAGACAGAGAGACAGAGAGACAGAAAGTGAGAAATCACCCCCCAGGGGGGATGGCCACCCCACAATCCTGTCTCCTCCAGTCTCCTCTTGGAATCTTCGGTATTCCTATTTTGGTTCAATCTAGCTTGTCCATCCACACCATCTAAATAAAGTTAGACTTGGCTAGAAAGCATATTCTGAAAAATTGGTTAGCTGCTTTTGATTAATGCAATTAGATCACCATTAAAAGGAGGGAAGGGGGCCATAAAATCGAAATAAAACTGCCTCCTTCCTAAAAATAAAATCCACTTTCCTGCAGCTAACCCTGGCAACTATCGTCATTGGCAGTGCTTTATACTTAAACCATGGTGGAAGAAATGAATAAAAGTAGAAAGAGGCACTGCTTTTAAACATTTGGCAACAATCCAGATGATACTTTTAGCCTCTGCTCATACTTTACAACAGTAATTCAGAACGAGACAGGTTTGCTCATATACATTTACTCACCAAAGGACTGAAGATGCCTGGGCTTTTATTCTGTAATGTTTCTAAGATTGTACCCTGGAAATGTACGCAAAAAAGAAAAGTCTTTGGCACAACAGGAGAAGTAATACACACTTGATCAGATCAAGTTAAATATTATTCATGGCATGTAGCCTAGTCCATGCCCTAGCTGTTTCTATGGCTTAGGCTTTCTTCCTTTGCTATATCATTTGCTAGTGGATCATCATCTGGATGATGATAATCATCCATTTTACAAATCCTGGATTGATAGCAGAACTGTGTGAGTTTATAGTGTTGGGACCACTTTCAGAATATCTGAACATATTTTTTCCCCCAACTTGTCTACATTAGGATGATAAATTTTGGTCATGAAACATACTTTAGAGGCAGCAATTGTATATTCTGGAAGAAATAGTTCAAATTTAAAAGTCTCTTTCTCAAAAGGAGAATCCTGGGGCGCAGCGATGACCACATGAAAATAATGGGTATTACTCTCATCTGGTTCTGCTTTAATACCAGGAACCGGTTATACCAGCAAACATTGGGTTTTCTCAGTGATCCTGCGAGACAGTTAGGCTATCTTGTCAGATCCTGAGTTCAGTCTCTGGCCTCAACCTCACCTGCCCATTGCAGAGGGGGATGTACTTTCAATTCTTTTTTTTTTTTTTGAGAGGTTTTTGCTATAGGGCACGTGTGCTCACCAGACAGACAGAGAGACAGAGAGACAGAAAGTGAGAAATCACCCCCCAGGGGGGATGGCCACCCCACAATCCCTTCTCCTCCAGTCTCCTCTTGGAATCTTGGGCACGCACGCACACGCGCCCAGCATGAGTTTAAGCCACCGGGTCCAAGACGTGAACCGCGGTCAACTACGTGGGAGTCCAGCGACATAGCCATTACGCTAACTGCTGGTCCCACTTTCACTTCTTAATACCATCACCGTGGGGAATTAAGGGTTCAGTATGTGAATTTGGGTGTCAGTAACATTCAGATCATAATACTCCCTAGTTCATTTACTAATTAAATATTCTTGCCATGGCTAGCAGGTAGTGTAGTGGTTACGGTGCGGGACTCCCACATGGTCTACCACTGTTGGAGTCCATGACCTGACAACTTGAAACTCAGGCCAGACATGTGTGGGTGTGTGCCCAAAATCCCGAGAGGAGATTGGAGGAAAAGGAACTGTGGTTTGGTTGTCCTCCCCACCAGGGGATGATTTGTCACTTTCCCTCTCTCCCTCTCTGGCAAGCCCACATACCCTTATGGCAAAAACTAAAAACAGGTTTTTGCTTTTAAAATTATGGACTTATATAATACATAGATTTTATATAGTTGCAGAGAAATAAGGACTGGGACCAGCAGATGGCATAGCAGTTACGTCACTGGACATAATGGCCTATGCAGTTGGAGTCCCAGACCCAGCAACTTGAAAATCATGGCAGGCGCATTCGTATGTGTGCCCAAGATCCCGGAAGGAGAATGGAGGAGAAGGGATTGTGGCCTGGCAATCCCTGGAGGATCCCCCTGGTTGGGTGTTTTCTTGCTTTCTGTCTATGTCTATGTCTCTGGCAAGTGCACACGCCCTATAGCAAAAGTCTCTCTTTAAAAACAATGAGAATCAAGACAGACAATTTTTTTTTTTTTGGAGAGATTTTCACTGTAGGGCGCGTGTGCTTGCCAGACAGGGAGAGACATAGAGACAGAAAGCGAGAAATCACCCCCCAGGGGGGATGGTCACGCCGCAATCCCTTCTTCTCCATTCTCCTCTCGGGATCTTGGGCACGCACGCACACGCGCCCGGCGTGAGTTTTTAAGCCACCGGGTCCGGGACGTGAACTGTGGTCGACTACATGGGAGTCCAGTGACATAGCCATTACGCTAACTGCTCCTTCCCAAGACAGACAATTTTTTTTTCTTGCTATTGAGAACTATTTAACTATAAATTAAAACACTCACTTTTTTTACCTCAAAGTTACTTTCCAAACTCCTCTTGAAAGACAAAGAATGGATAAATAAATCAGAGCTCTAAATGAAGAAAATATTTAATTACCTCTTTAAGTAATTTTCATTTTTATTTTATTTTATTTATTTATTTATTTATTTATTTATTTATTTATTTTT